GGCTCCCCTCCCTGCAGGCTCTGCTCCAGGCAGGACAGTGCATTCAGGGCTTGTGGTCCTTTGGCTTTCCAGAAAATGCAAAAAAAGCCTCTTCCAAGGCATCCAGGCAGGCTCCAGCTCCAGGAAAAGGAGCTCCCAAGGAGGAGCTGTCAGAGAAGCACATGGATTTCACTTTTTGTATAATAACCTGAGGATCAGCCATAGCTCTAGGGACATCCCCAGTCTCAAGCCCCCTTCCTCCAGCTTATCTTTACACTTCCCTCTCCTCCCAGGAGTGCAGACTCCCCCAGCCACTCACACTACAAATGATTGACCACAAGTTTCCTATCAGTCTGCTGAGGAAGGAAAACCAGGCCAGACCCAAACCCTTACACATGCACACCACTCCTCCCTCTCCACAGCACCCTCCAGACTGGCCTCTGCCCAAAATGATTTGTTTTGGTGCTTGAGTTTTCTTCCCTGCCATTGCACCTCCAGAAATAAGCTGTCCCTCCCAAGTCCTTGCTCATTTATAAATGTGTGAAGTTCTTTTGGCAAGACAACCTCCTCAGTTTTTCAGCTCCAGCTTCTTCTTTGCTGGCAGCTCCCTGTCCATTCTTTACAATCACTGGAAGTGCTCAGATTGATCCATTTTGATATGGAATTCTCTTTGTTCAGTAACATGCCCAAACATGAACAAATGTGAAGGAAAAGAACTGTTTCACTTAATAATTATAGAAAATTCTCTTCCTGTTAAATCCTGTTATTTTCACAAAGACAGAGATTGTTTGGATCAAGGAAGGGAGGTCAGGTTCAGATCCTGGGGAGAGTGGTGTGTAGTGATAATAACACTTAGGATTTCTGCAGCATTCCTTATCCAGAGATCTGAGCCCTGTCTCCAGTACATTACAACAGCAGGATATGTTATCTTATGCAAACTCCTTCCTAAATTTCACAATAGCTGTAACAAGCAGGAATCATTAAATTAGTGTGGCTGAAAACCAGCCACAGAGCTCCCTCTTTACTTTGCTTTTATTTAAATAAAGTGAAGCAGTCAGATGCTGAGGCATTAGTCCTCTTCACTGTTTACCAAGTATCTACACTACTCTTAATGGGATATAAATACTAAAAGTAATAAAAAGGGGGGGAAAACAAAAAGGAGCATCCAAACTCTCCTCCTTTAAGCAAGTTACCCAGTTGCAACCCCTACAAATGCTCAGTTGCCCTTTTACTACATCTGGTTCAAAGGCCACTAAAAATGGGATTCTTTGCACTGACATCAAAGGGCTTTGAAAGGGACTGTCTGAAACACGAGGGGAGACAAGATTAACTTCAGCTTTCTGCTTAAGGAACTCCAGCAAAAAGTAACAAATAATAATCAGAAGATAAGGTTTTCTTGAGAACCTACTGATTTCAGCACATTTTTCCAACATCAGCTACCACTATGAAGTTGCTTGCTTTGTGAGAGTGGTGCAGACTGTGCTACTAAACACAGTTTGCAGCTTAAGATGACCTTTTATTTTCAAAAACACTAAAGAACACGGTGACTAAGAAGGAAGCGAGAGGGTGGGAAAAGAATATGAATAGTTTATAAAGCACTGGATTGGTTGTCTTTATTTAGTGCCATATCTGTATTGATCAGGCTTTCCTCCTGGCCTGCTGTGAAGCTGTAAGAACAGGCATCAGTGCCAAAAAATCCTGCACTGCTGCTGAAACCCTACCCTACCTTTTAACTACAGGCTTTATTACTCGTGTAAATACATCCTAGGAACTCAGCTTTTAAAGCGGTTTCTCTCAGTAACCAACTTTATGTAAACACATCTGGAACTTTGTAACTCACAACTGCTTTGTGTAGTCACCTGTATGATGAAGGTTAAATGCTGTGGAATTACTGCTGGGGGCTCTGATTGCCCCACAATCACAGGAGTGGATGTATAAAGCAGGGATACAAGGGGCAGAGGAGTCCTAAACAAACCCAAGATTGTGTTCCTAATTGAAATGGCAGCCCAGGGTTTTCGCATATAAAATCTGGAATCTGAGCTCACTTGCCTTAACATCATCTGTTTCAGCTGCTCCACATTCCAGGACTCCTTCAGCCTTGACCTCATCCCTGAGATTATTCTCCCTTCAGTCAATTAGAAGTTCTCAAATATACAATATTTATACCCAGCAATGAGGCAGATCTGCTGATTGTCTTTCTTCAGCTGCCTGGGTGGCCCCAAGAATGAGGAAATGTCCCAGGGCTGGGGAATTCCCATTGTCTGAGCAGGGCTCAGCTCTGCCAGGGCTGCACAAGGGCACACGGGATGTGCTGGAGTTGGGAAGATTGAAGGTACAAAGAGAAGGATTCATTCTACACATTTTGAACATGGCTCTCAAGGTTTATGCAAAGCACCCATCCACCCTAATGATCTTGAAACTGGAAAAGAAAAAGGATTCTATGGACTTAAAACAACTTTAAAGGAAAAGATGAAAAATATTATGAATTAAGTCTGTTGGCTTCCAGTCTCTGCCTGCTACCTCCAAGGCTACTACTGTTTTTACTGTTTGGTTTTTTTTGTTTACTAAATGAAAACATAATCATTAAATAGATTTACAAAACTATTTTGTATCATATATGAATATCACTGACAATGGTATCCAGATATCTTTTATCCCAAATCAAAACAGACCCTGGATTTTAAAAATTTATTTGTTGCTATTTCCTTAATTGCGTTTCTTGTTTTGAGAGTGCTGTATTTATGAAACAAAAAGTTCTCAAGTCATTAGGTAATATATGACCCAAACAACTTATTAATCAATGTGAATCAATAAATGAGAATCAGGCCTACAGTACCAGAAGTATTCATTCCTTTGATGAGAGTATCTTTCTTCCTGTAGAGTCTATGTCTTATCTTCTTCTAAAACCTACATTAGGTCATTTGGCCAAACCCTTGCCCTTAATTTCTGAACCCTGGTAGCTGATTTAAGAATATATTTTATTACTCCTTTTGTTTGCACAGCAGTGGGTGCTGATATAGTCTCTCCTGGCTCTTCAGAGATTAAACAGCACACGGAAGAAAAGGTAGAGCAATGTAGAAGATGCCTTCAAAATTTCATGTAGAAAACAAAGAAATAATTTTTAGGAAAATGTTGTTAAATCAGTTCACACACAACAATTTTTTTTTTTGTTATGACATATCTATATATATGATACAGTTATATATTTCTCATTTCTATGATAAATTTGCATAATTATAATAAAAATTAGTAACAGTTGCAATAAGGAAAATGAAATTAACGAATCAGAATTTAGACTGATGTAATTGTTATTTATAATACTTACAACACATAGCCAGTACTTCCTACTCCCTCAGTGTTCTGTTAAACAGTAACTGCACAATAAATCTTCTTTTTCTTTTCCCGATAAGTTAAAACACAATCATAAGCATTTGCCAAAATCAATCCTGTATCCAACAGCATGAGAGTACAATATCTAGAACTTCCTGATCTGAAACAATTAATTTTTTCTAGATATATAAGAAATGGCAATAACTTCAAACCAATTCCTTTTTTCAAACATGTTTTGTCATAATATTTTTCAAAACAGAGCACTCATAGAACTGTGAGGCTGGAGTGTAACTGTGCTTGGCTTGAACACACACAGACCCTCCCCTAACCCAGCAAAACAAACGGTACAAACATTCAGGTCACTGCAGATCCTCATCCCTCAAGGTGAGCAAGCACTTCTTTCCCAGCTATCAACTTCAATATGCTGTTAAATTCAGTAATTTACAGGGGTTCTGTAGTAGTTCACAAGTTTAGTAGTTTACAGGTTCTTCCCCATATTAATTATGAGAACACCTTGTCATTTGCACAAATAGTGTGAAATAAAGGCAATTTGAATTTCCACAGAGAGCTGTGGGCTTGCTCGAGGCTATTGCCCTGCCTGGTGAGCACCGTGCTTTTGTGAGCAGCTGGGAACAAGGTCCACTCCAAAACTCTCAATCTTCAGGCCCTGACAAAGGCAAGGCTTGACAAGCTGACAAAACATGACATCTTAATGAGGTTTCTTTGCAAGTGTTACTGGACAGTCCACACCAGAAGCTGGAGTCGGGGGCAGGGCTGGAGAAGAATGTGAGGCTGTAGAGAACAGTGTTCCTCACTTGGACAATTCCTGGGTGATCCTCCAACCAGCTTCTTACAGATTTTAGTGCACATGTTAAATTGGCATAATACATAAAAGAAATTTTGGCTACAGCTCTGTTAGTACTGAAACATTCTTAAATTAAACATTCTGATTTAAAATACCCACAATTAAGTTTGCAACCTGTCTCCATGTGCTCTCTATAACATGTGTTTCCCAAAACAGGATATACTGCACATACTACTACAAGAAAAGATATAGCCAATTACCTTAAACCCTTACCTATTATCACTTAATAGCTGATATTATGATAGAAAATGGGGCCACAAGCTGGAGTGTTCTTCTAGTCCCAGCTATCAGGTATTTCACACAATATGAAATTTGTCTTAAGTGTTGCACTCTAGGTGAGTTTGCCTGCAAAGAGGTGCTCATAGATAAGTAGGGAAAAGAAAGTATGAATAAACTGGTGACAATTTCACCCACAGAAATCAGTGGCAGAGCTTTGTGGAAGAAAAAAAAAAAAAATAAACGCCCCACACAACTCTCAAATCTGCAGCCCAGCTTTAACTCAAAAAGCTGCGTTTTTATTACACAAGCGATTCCTCCTGGAATCAGACACGGAGCGAAGGGATCAGGTAATTTACAAGAGCCGCAGGCACAGCAGCACGGCGGGCCGTGCCTCCCCCGGGAGGATGCGCTGCCCAGCCCGCTGTTACCTGCCGGGGCAGCGGGGGCGGTGCGGGGCCGTGCCCGCCCCCGGCCCGCGCCCCGGGGGAGGCCGGCAGCTGTCGGCGGGTGGGAGGCGTCTGCAGCTGGAAAACAGCAGCTCGGCTTGCTGATCAGATTTGGGGGTGGGGTGGGAGGTGTGTGTGGGAAAAGCCGAGCGATGGATCTTCCCTTCTTTTGACAACGCTCTCCTCTTCAGGACTAAGTCTGCGCTGGAGGAAATTAACTGCGAGGGAGAAGCGCTAATCACACCTCCGAGCGGGAGCCAACTCCGGGGAGCAGCGTGTGCCGCCAGCCCCAGGATATTCCCTGCCTCCAACCTGAAGTGATCCCTCCTGGAACGGTTCAGTCGCGCCTGCAGTTCACCTTTGCCTGCAGTTAACCAGCGTGCAATTTGGGTTTAATGGAGCTGAGTTTATTGTTCCTCTTTGGACTTACGATTACGTCGACTGCAGGTAACGTGAATTTCTTTCTTTCTTTGCCCACTTCCACGCATGCACACAAAGAAAGGCTGGGTGGTTTTTTTGTGTTGCCTTTTTTTTTTCTCCCCTCCTTCCAAAAGGCTGTAAGCAGCAGCCCACTCCGGTGCGCTGTAAAGAACGGGACTGCGAATCCATCCCTTGGCCGTCCGTGGTTTACCCCGACCCAGCGGGCTGGCGCCGCAGCCCGGGGCGCCCACGAACATAACGGTGCTGCCCGCGGGGAGCGGGGCCGGGCCCGGGGGGCTGCGGGCGGGGGAGTGCGGGCTCGGGGCTTTGCCGGGGTTTGCCGGGAGCTGAGCGCGGCTCTTGCAGGGACCGCGCTGCCCCGGCCCCGCTCCGCGCTGCCGGCGGCCGGCCCGGGACACCGCGAGCGCGACGAGAGCGGAGCGGCGGCGGCCGCGGGCGGCAGGGCCAGGGCGGACGGCGCAGCGCTGCGGCACCGGGCCCGGCGCTGCACTTGCTACACCTACAAGGACAAGGAGTGCGTGTACTACTGCCACCTCGACATCATCTGGATCAACACCCCCGAGTGAGTGCGGGAAATGGCGGGCGGGGAGCGGGCGGGGGAGCCCCGGGGACCCCGCGGGGCGGCCGCAGGCGGGGCCGGGGGAGCCCAGGGCAGCCCCGAGCTGCCCCCGCGGCACCTGCCCGGCCCGGACGGGTGACAGGAGCGAATAGCGGTGATTGCCCACCAGAAATGCGTTTCTACCAACTCACCCGCCGCGAGAGCAGCAATAGTGTGCGTGCCTGCAGCTGTACTAGTTTTGATACCAATTAGCGTGGAAAAATACCGAGACGTTAAGATAATGTTTGAAAAATTCAACGTGCCAGATTTTAAGATGTTACAAAAGAAAGCCTTTTACAACTGTGCTCTGCGGAAACGCAAGCTTTTGTTTGAACTCGTAAAAAAAACAAATTTTGAAGCCGTTTCCCCTGGATTGGAAGTTCTGAGCTCCACACGTGCAGAAAAGCTGCTCTGCTGTCTGCACTGACAGCGCTTAATGGGCAGAAAGCATCCAGGAAGAGTGACACTTTGTCTACATCCCAAAGGTTAGGGGCCTCCTTTTCCTACACCACTGTATATATCCTGTCATGCTGAGTAACCAAAACAGACCTCAGATTTGTAAAGATTCTTCCAGGCTAAGAGGTTCCTGTAGCAACCACAGCGATCAGTTCAGTACAAAAATAATCAGGACATCAGATGAACCTGAGAATAAATGACTTCAAGAATTCAAGATTTTCAGACTCTGGGGTGTGAACTTGAAGTATTCCGGTGACTAAAGACTGGGAACAGTTGTAATGATTTAGATCTGCCTTTGAATCGATTGCAAAGCTTTTAATGAGATTAAAATAACAAAAGGAGTAGAAAAATAGAAAGTAGCCATAAACTAGGTTAAGTCAAATGGGGTTTAGGGCACTTAATTTGTAAATTCACGTGTGTGTCCTGGCTAGAGGCCATGTCTGATGACGTCTTTTGAACTTCTACCAACCTGTGAGTATCATGTATTCACACAAGTCATTCAATTCTTCGAGTTCCATACCTGCACTAATCCACCCCAGGATTACTTAGGGTTATTTTAGCCAAATATTTATGACTCAGTAAATTTAAGTCAGACCTCACCAGTGAAAATGGGGGAATGACATTCCTTTTCCCCTACACACTGAATAAATAGACTTCTGCTAATTTTAAACACACGCTCCTCTTTTTTTAAATTTTTTTTTAGTATATATTTTTTTAAGTCTACAGGACTTACAATTTTCATTCCACTGCCAAAATTATTTAGTGTGCATTAATTCAATGATATAGAGAATTTTCCTACATGAAAGTTTTGTGCCAGTATCACTAAAGAAAGAACAAAACTTATGAAACAAGGCATATAATGTTTTCATAATACCTGTAGAATTGGCAATGAAGTCTGTATAATAATCCAAATATTAAACAGTTGAGGTTCTACGTCTTTGCTTTCTTTACTGAAGTCAGTTGTACATAAAATAGCAGCAGATCTGTAAAGTCTGTCCCCACTGGGAATAGGTTAACCTGAAATGATTTAATGTGAGGACTAAGAAATTGCCTTTTTATAATTTTTATTCTATATGATGGGATGTTTCTATGCAAACCATGGAATGAATACATTCAATTTCAATATTAATTATTCACACAGAATAATGCATTTTTAGCTCCAAAGACATGAACTTGTACAACCTAACAACACTGTTGGAACTGAGTGAATGGAACCTCTGAGGTTGACAAAGAGTGGGTGGATGATGGTGAAATTAGCCTGGAATTAGTCCAGCAGGGACTGAATTTCCTGAAATCTGTCTGAACTGGACAGCTTTGCTGTCCTGCTCCATGGACAGGTGACAGAGGTACAAAACTCTTGCTGAAACAGCCCAGTTGTGATTTTCAGAAATCCCAGGATTCTTCCTAGGAATGCTCCCAGGGCAGAGGTAAACATTAAATTAAATGTATTGGATATTTTGAACCCTTTCAGTGCAACAGGAGCAGGATTTAAGATTCTATGTGCCATGAACAGGCACTAGTTCTGCTCTGGTGATTGATTTGGAATAACATCTCAGGAAGTCAAGAGGTTCTTTGGGATGTGAATGAGGGGAACCGGGCCTGCTTGGGCAATTTAATATCCTGAGCAAGTTACACTACTTCTTTGAAATGCAAGTAACCATGGGATGTGTACAGACTGGCTGTTTGTAAAAGGGGCTTTTACATTGCTCTTGTACACATGTTGTGGAAAGTTTTTGTATTTACTAAAACTTTGGCTCCAGTGCAGCTTAGAGGATCATACAATGAGAGGCCAAAATGTTGGTGTTAAAGTTTGGAGAAGTTTTCCTGACATCTGTTGATTCTGGTATTTTTCTTGCTTATTTATATTTTTCCCCACTACATCAAACCCTACAACTGCTTCTTATTTTTTTCTTTCCCCTCCGACTTATTTATTTCACTTTATTGCTTCTTGTTCCCCACAAAATTTCCTCAGTACTTTCTGTTTTCAGTCTACTTTTGCCTCTATACTTTAAATACAAACTTTAATTTCTTCTCTGGTTTCTTCTGCTTTTCCCAACAGGAGCTGTTAAGCATTGTTGTAATATATTCAAAACAAATCTTGGTCATGGCCTCTCCTCCTTTTCTGGAAAAGCAGTTAAAGTTTTTATTGAAGCTGTTGGAGGCAGAGTGACAATAGAAGGTCTATTTCTATCCCTGCTGAGAAACCACTTAGATCAGCAGGGTGACAGTTGTAGAAAAGCACAAAATTGCAGAATGTGGAGCCTCTGACTCCCTACAGCTTTCACCAATTAAATTAGAAATTATCTCTGCACACATGTTTTGAGTATTGCTCTATACTTGACTGTGAACCACTGCTGTTAGTCCAGACCACGAGGAGCACCAGTGTTGGTTTGATATAGTGAGTCTTTCATTCTGGGAGCAGTGGGAAGGTGGAAAAGAAGATGACCTAAAGAAAGGCAGGTAAGTCAGAAGAGAATAATGCAATTATGTGGTGCAGACAAACAAGGGTTGCATAATAAAGGTAATTAAAAGCTGGTAAACTGTTCTCACTGATAAGATTGATTAGCCAGGAATTAGTTTGCAATGCATTTTTTTTTGTCAAGCGATTAATTATGCTTATCTTGTTCTATAGCTACAGACACATTTTAAATAATGAATTGTCCTTTAAACAGCACCCACTGATGTAATACAGGCACAGCTTGATGCTTAATTTTGTAAGTTAAAGAAGAAAATATAGGCAAGGAAGAAAATATGGGCATGACTACTTTTAGATCTGCTCTTCTTCAGAGGGGTACAGATGTACAACTGAGATTGTACATCCAACAGCAATAATAACAATTAATGATAGTTCATTCTGTTAATAATGTTAATGTTGCTGCATGAAGCTCTAGCAATGCTCAGAATGATGAGTGATGGATTAAAAGGGTGACAACTCCTAAGAAAGTGTTACTATCATGAGGGCACAGACACTCAAGTGGTCCTAAATTCTAAAATAAATGAGCATCTATGGTAATAATCCAGACATTTCCAAAGGAGAATTCCTCACTCAAACTAAGCACCGAAAATAAGAACATTTCTTTTGAAGGGTCTGAAACACAGCAGAAGTGTTTTTTTCTTTCCTAAATGACACGTCATTTTGGTATTTGTTATTATGTTCAAAAGAGGAGTGAATGAAATTGTGTGACCACACTGTAAAGAGCAGTTACATGATGTTCTAAGAATTCTTTCTGCCAGTTACATAAATTTGTGAATCAGGCAAATTGGGTGGAAAAAGCGAAAGGCAGATTTTGATCTAACACTGTGTTGCTGCTCTGATCCTCTGTACTTAACACAGGTTCAGTTTCCTCTGGGGGAGGGCAGGGACAGGGACAGGACTTGTGTCTGTCTTTGCTGGGAGAGGATCTGCTCAGTGGCCCTTGCTGTGGGAGCACATGGGGACACTGGAAGGATCTGATATTTTGTCACTTAATAAAAAAAATTTGTTTCTGTGACTCAAGTAAGTCAGATAATCCTTAGCAACAAGTTAGCTCCAGATAGTGCCCAACAGAAATGTGTTTTCCTGACCTCAGGTGACACTGGCTGAGGCGAGAAAGGCTTTTCAGACACTTGTGGCTGTGTCTGTAAGTGATGATGAATGGGTTTGTCAGGAACTAAACAGCCTGAGCAGATCCCACCTGCACCCAGCTCTGCAGCAAATAAGAGTTAATGATCTTTGCTCTTTACTGACTTAGGTTACCATCAGAAAATCATCTCAGAATGGAAACAATCTGTAGCCTATCATCACTTTACTCACAGTTTTGCTCACACACACACAGATGATGTCTCAGGATGGTGTTCCAACAGACAAGATTTAATACAACCCAGGGCTTACTCTGCTCTAACTGCATGTGCTGCTGGCCAACTTTTCCTTCATAACATCTTTTTGTTACCTGCATCTCTTTGGTGACTGAATTTTGTTGAACAGAAGCCCACATAACAAAATTTAAGATGCTTTTAACCCTTATGGACATTGTGATGTTCTAAATTATCATAATTACTCCAATTCTGGATAATTCTATTCATCATTAATTAAGTATGAGTGATGTATTGGTGTGAAGTATTTTACTGGAAATAAAAGCACACAGCTAAAGATCTCTTGTTCAGCAGAACAATTAAGCAGGTGCTTATAAACTCTAGATCAGATTGAGAATCCCTGCTAGTCAGAGGCATGATGATAAAACAGTGGCTGCCAGCCAGGAAGCTCAAATAAGGAAGCTGATCTGTCAGCTGAACAGTGCACATGGTTAACCTTCAGAACCAAGTGCCAAAACTGAAATGATGCATCTTTGTTGAGTTGATTTTATTTTTCTGAATGAAGCTCGCCCTGATTTTGCAATCTTTACTGTCCATGGGAACATGTGGAATCTGTTTGTCTTGCAAAATCTTCATGTGAAATGAAGAATATCTCAGTTAGATTTACTGAGCATAGTAACAGGCTCCTGCTGTAATTGTTATATTTTATTGTGGAC